CCCCCCCCCCCTCCCTCCCTCCCTCACCTTCTGCTTCCGCTTCTACCTCACCTTGGCCGTCCCTTGCCCCCTTCCTCTCTTGTGTGCTTTGCAAAACTCCGAAAAAACACAAGCCACAGCGGCCGCCGTGATGGATGCCAGAGGCGCGATCTCACCATACCATAGCAATACACGACCACGGACTTGAATACGTGAGGAGGGTTACGTGGGAGAACCAGTGATATAGGGCCTCGCTGCACTACTCTCCAAATGTGCAAAATGAGAATGGATCTTCCCGTAGAACGTGGAAAGATGCATTGCCATCTTTCTTGTCTTTTGTGCATGTGAAGAGAAGTGCGGCGAGGCCCATAAAGTGCTCTCTGACAATGCAATCTTATCATATTTCCTCATAGGGTACCGCGAGCCGAGCGTCGGTTCCATGGGTCATATCCAGACACCCAAGTTCTCCACTTAAAGAATCGTATTATCGCTCACCCTTCGGAGATGTTTGTTGAGCATTTTTGTGCTGGACATAAGTGTGCAACATTCACACCAATTTTATACTGAAATTAGCATGATGAGAAAGCTGCCATTAACATGTCCGCGATACCCATCTCTGAAGGTTCTGAAGTCCGCAGTAGCATGCGGCTTTGCTATTAAAAAAATCAGCAGCATGAGAAAGCCGAATGTAACACTTCTCTGTCCCAGCACCATCATGAGTCATGACCACCCATAAAGATCGGTGAACAGAATGTGAGATCAGCATGCGGCTTTGCTATTAACAAAATCAGCACCGTCATGACCACCCATAAAGATCGGTGAACAGAATGCCCAACTCCACTAACAAAGCAAAACGCGGGTAAGAGAGATGAAATGGATGTAAGTGGAAGGGGACCCTAGGAAAATAGGAAAGTTTTTTTCCCCTTTTTCCCTCTTAATCTGGGCAGGGAGAGAGGGCAACAAGTGGGGTAGAGAGAGTGTGTTGGGAGGGGCTACTGCAGCCCTGCCCAGCTTGCAGAAGCAGACTTGAAGAGTGGGCATGTAATATAAAGAGGGGCACCTTTGGCAGGGGAAAAGAAAACATCCAAGGACAAGAGAGCTAGGCCCATACCTATGGATGGCTCCCCTGCTCTACCAAACTCACTCAAACTGCAAATCGTGTGTGTGTGTGTGTGTGTGTGTGTGTGTGTGTGTGTGTGTGTGTGTGTGTGTGTGTGTTTGTGTGTGTGTGTGACACAGAGAGAGAGAGAGAGAGA